CAAAGGATCCAATGCCCCCCCAGACACACACATGCATGCACACACACACACACACATACACACACAGCGAGACAGACAGAGAGAGAGAGAGAGAGAGAGAGAGAGAGAGAGAGAGAGAGAGAGAGAGAGAGAGAGAGAGAGAGAGAGAGAGAGAGAGAGAGTCCTCTATGGACCAATGTAGCTCCAGTCAGGAAGCTAATTTACCCCTGTTCTGTCAAAGAGATTCTGAAAAGCTCAGTGACCTTGGTGAAGGTGACCTCTGCTCAGCTGATCAGAGTGAGAGCTAAAAACAAATACTCCGATTTCTAAGTTTTCTCTCTCCAACTTTAGATATGGCCTGAACAGAATCTGTATTCTGAACCAGGCAGACCAGTAGAGTCCGAAGAGCTGCCCAGAGCCTCCAGGTAAAGTGACACAAACTACTAAGATAGCAGAAGAAGCCATAACTTTCTATTTCTGTTTTATCTCCTCTTTGAAGACTCTGTGGGATTTTATAATGTACATAATATATTAGTATAGCCCTACATGTATAATTTATAAATCCATAAATATACATATAGTGGTGTGTGCTCAAACACTTAACTGAGGATACGCAATTGAAATGTAAGAAAATCATCAGTCTCACCATTACTTTCTGTTTTTAATTCTCAAAAATATCAAATATCTGTTGCTGGTTTTCATTATTTTGTTTTCCCAAGTGAAGCTGCAAGTCGTCTTTCTAAGACAATAGATAAAGTGGGTGCAAAAGTCCAACCAAATCCAGAAACATATGGAAGAAGACGCATAAATCCACAACTAACCAGTGGGCCAAGCTCCTGGAGTACAATTGAAGTGAGGGAGGAGTGATAATATGAACAAAGACCACGGTGGGGAAACCCATAGAATCAGCTGACCCGAGCTAGTGAGAGATCACTGACTCAGGTCTGACAAATGGGGAACCTGCATAAGACCAAACTGGACTCCCTTAATATAGGTGACAATGGTGTGACTGGGACAATATATGAGGCCACTGGCAGTGGGTCCAAGATCTAACACTAATGCACAAACTGACTCAGTGGAGCCCATTCTATATGGAGAGATACCTTGCTCAGCCTAGACACAGGGGTGTGGGGGTGGAGAGGTGCCTTGGTCCTGACTCAAATTGATGATGGGACAGACTTAGTAGACTGCCTCTGGGAGGCCTTACCCTCTCTGAGGAGAGATGGGAGGAGGGGGGAAGGGGAAGTGAGAGGAGAGGAGGGAGAGGCAACTGGGATTGGAATGTAAAAAGTAAGTAAGTAAATAAATAAATAAATAAAGACTAACCAAATCAGAAGTTTCTAGAAAGAAGACTATCAAACAACCTCTAAGAATTCCACATTGCCAGCTAGGTTACTTTGGCCAAATTATCTTCTGTATTTCCCCCTTTCAATGTATCATTTAAATCATTTGTCAACCTAGTTCTCTACTAGGCATTCAATCTGGGAAATCAAGTCAGTTTAATTTTGGTCATGGGGTCTGTATCACCATCAGGAAAACTCTGGGGCAGTTAAAAGTAAGGATAAGAGAGGTTCAGGGCTGCGGGGGCATGGCTTCCCCCAGTATGCTGTTAATGAGTTAGATATTTTCTCTTTTTCAATCAGCTTCCCGTAATCTTAGAACAGAGTTCAAATGACTTCAACCCTTTAGCCTTTCTTTGCCATGTGAGATAATACATCAGGCACAAAGACCCCAATTCTCCTTCCTTAAATGATTAAAATCCCACTTGCTAAGCAGAGGATTAGTTATCTACAGTGGACCTTATGTAGGACCGAGGTAATGCAGGAAATTCAACATTTTGGTAAAGAGGACACCCTTTTCCTGGTCCTGGGTTTGGTTGAGATTGAATTTCCTAAAGACATGCAAAAGTTGCCTGATGATCAGGAGGTTCCCAAAGAGAGGGAAAGAAGGGAAACCAGAAGAGAACTAAAGAGGAAGAGGAAATTCGCAGGCTGAATGTAAATTATATTAATCACTTCAGCAAGAGTGCTAAAAAGTGCTATAACCACTGCCTCATTTAATTCTCACCACATCTACATGCTACAGGTTGATATGCTAAGGTACAGAGGTTCCAAATTTCCTCTGCTTGGGCACATATAACTTCTCAGATACATTTTGTACCATCTTGGACCAAAAAGAACACAAAGAAGTTCCATTTACTAAGTAGTTTTATTCAGATTCTTTCTTAATATTAATTCACAGAGGTGTTACTGTTTTCCTTGAAAGATCATTATTATTATGAGTGTGTTTGTGTGTGCATGCTGTGGCACATGTATGAACATGTATGAGGGCAGAACACAGCTTTGTGAAGTAAGTTCTCTCTTTCCACCTTTATGTGTTTTAGGAAACAAACTCAGGTCATCAACCTCTTTTACCCATCAAACATTCATGCCAGCCCAAAAGTTTTAAAATATTACACAGTGCTCTTATAAGGTTTGCTGAAGACCCCTGAGGTACTCTGACACACAGTTTGGGAACCCTCGCTACTATCTGTGGCCTCGGAGAGCTTTAGGATCCTTATTTTGTTGGTGGGAGGCTGAGACTCAGAAAGATTGCGTGGTTGATTTTTTGCAGTCCCGGAATCTGAACTCATGGAGAGCTATTCTGCAAGCCTTCTCACTCTGTTCTCTTGGCTTATTGTGTTTATGCATCATCATTAATTCTATATATACTCTAGTACTGTATATTGAACAAGTGTCTTCACCCACACCAGAGCATATAGGCACCCAGACGTATGTGCATACACACATGCCTATCCCTAAGGCCCAAGCCATTTCCTCCCATTGGGAGGTTATTCCTTTGAATCAGACTTTCTAGAAAGTTCAGTCTCTATTTTCAGCCCCAAGTTTTATCTCTTGACTACTTGTGTCAATATTTATCTTTCACTTTCAAATCCTGCCTATTAAATGACAAGTTAATGGCATCTGGTCTTATACTATTCTCGAATTGCTTTATCAGGTATAAGTTTTGGTTTTTTTGGATTTGTTTTATGTATTGGGTTTGAATGCTGGGACCCTCCCATGCTAGTCAAGTACTTGCCTCAACCACTTTTTTCTTTTACCTTTTCCATTTTCTTTCTTTCTCCTTTCCTTTTGAGACATGGCCTTAATAAGTAACTTATGGTATATCCTTGAACTCACTCTGTAGCCCAGCAGGCCTTGAAAGGATATTCTCCTGCCTCAGCCTCCTGTATAACTGGGATTACATGACATCAGGACAGGCTGAATTTTTCTAAGACTGAAGGTTGTCCCCAAATGGGGACTACATGTTATCTTGCAGTGGACACGCAGAAGCCACTACACCAGTTGTTATAACAGCAAGATGTTGGAATACTAGAAATTGACAGGACTCCCTAATGCCTGGATGTAAACAACAGGGGGTGTATAGTCAGCATCAGAGCATCAGGCATGACGTCTAACATCTTTGTGAGACTTTATGAAGAGTTCCGTTTGCCCTCATTGCAGTCTGATCATTGCATTCCTTCCATGGGACAAAGACGAAGCTTAGACAAAGTTACTTTGGTACACATTCTAACTCCAAATGGGAGGGGCAGGTCCAGAAGCACTGTGTGTTATCTTGTGGTCTTCTACTCTACACCTGCCTTAACTTGGCTTCACTGAGCCACAAGCACAGCCCAGGTCCCCTGCACAGGGTAGACTCTGGGTTTCAAAGGTCCATGTGGCTGGTACCTTGACTGTGAGCTTCGAGGTACACAGTTCTCTCAGGTGAGGATGCTGCTAGGGAAAATGCCCACTCTTTTGCTGGGTCAGTGAGTTCATGGAATGTTCCAGATGATTTCCTAAATGAAGGTAACCCAAATGAATGCTGTCCCCAAACAGGGACTACATGTTACTTTGCAGTGGACACACAGAAGTCACTAGGCCAGTTGTTATGCCAACAAGATTCTGCAATACTAGAAACTGACAGGACACTCTATTGCCTGGTCCTAATCTTTCATTTCAGGACTGAGAGAACCACAGGCTGGGGCCAAGGGCTTCAGAGGCTAACAAGTTTAGGGCTGAAGGCTGTCAGGAAGATGAAGGTAACGTGAAATGCATAGCTAGTCCTTCCAGGCCATGAGAACTTTAGAAGATGAGCCAGATCTGTGGCTCAGACCACCACACAAGGTGTGCAGCAATGCTGGCTCTTCCTAATATATGATTTGGGGGAGTTACTTCATCTTTCTATTTCAGCAGTCCTGTCAGTAGAATGAGGTCATGGAAGAGTTGTGAAGATTAAAAAGAAAAACAAACATAAAGCAGGAGGGACGGTGCTCGGCAGTGGCAGACACTTAATAAGTAATAACGGCTTATCGAAGATGACAAATAGGTTCCGGGCTGTGCTGTACTCAGCAGGCACTTATTAAATGGGAGTGACAGACAGTGCCACCACCACCATCATGACAGTGTCGTTTTGTAGGAGCCGGTGTCATGCTTCATGGAGCGATTCCAAAGCTCCAGCCTGCAGATGAAGGCACAGAAAGGAAAGGAACCAGAAGAAGCCAAAGGCAAAAAGTTCACCCAGAGAGACCCTGACAGGAAGCAAGAGGAGCCCACAGATGGTGCTGGGCTGGGAAAATAAAATAAACAACAGACCACATGAATATACATTTCAAATTACATCATTTCTTCTGCATCATGTCTCCAGCCGGTTGGGAACACACAGATGTGTCACATTTATTTATAAAGTTTTATTGAGATTACAAGAATGTCAGTCTTGAATTTTATGACAAAAATAATAGTGGAGGTGGGAGGCCTTTTGGTGGCTGTTTTCACTTAGGGAAGAATGGAGTGAGTCTGGGATGGACCCTTTCATCAAATGCCTGCCTTTCTGGAGAAAGAGATACCATGTCACCGAAGCAATGCATTCAGGAAACACCCGAGGATGCTAATACAAACCTTTGCTATTATTATACATCAGGAGGTACACATAGCATTTCCCTAAGGTCCCAAACCCCCTGGCACCTATGTGGAAGTACTCACAGTGATTAGGGTATCTTGGCCAACAGGTACATTATGTGACCGCTCTTGGAGGGACTTATCTGAACCAACCTCAGAGAAGAATACCTTGAAGAGAAGGAGAGACTCTGATGAGAATAGAGGCAACATTTCCCTAAGATCAAAACTTCACAAACATTGAGACAGGTTGTGTGTACTGAAGTATGTCTCCTTGCCCCATAAGTACTAAGTCCTTGAGAAAAAGTACCTGGTAGGGCCATAAGCCTGAACAAGCTTGGAGAAAGACCCCTCCAGTGAGGAAGGATGGGTAGAGTTGAACTCAGCTTGCCCCATTCTCCCCAAATATAACCTTTTTGGGGCACTCATTTCCCATGTTTGTAGGTGAGTTTCTGCTTTGGCCTGTTTTACATAACGTGACACAAGATACAGTTATTTTGAAAAGGTGAACTGCAACTGAGGAAGCATCCCTATAAGATTGGCCCTGGGCAGGCCTGTGGTGCATTTTGTTGTTTGACGATTGATGTGGGTGGGCCCTGTTCGTTCTGGGTGCTGGTTATGGGTTATGGGATATCTGGAAGAAAGCAGATTGAGCAAACCAGTAAGCAGCCCTCTTCCATGGTCCCTACTTCAGTTCCCAGCTCCAGGTTCCTGCCCTGCTCAAGTCCCTGCCCCGAATTCCTTCAGTGATGGAGGGTGACTTGAAAGTTGCAAGATAAAATAAACCCTTTCCTCCCCCAAACTGCTTTTGGTCATGGTGTTTTATTGCTAAGACAGTCTCAAAATATATTTCTACTTTAGGGAGACCAGAGGGCATGGATCGTGAGCAACAGCCTCTGTTCTTCGGTGAAGGAAACAAAGACATTAGGGGGAGTGGTGGGACTCATGTGAAAAAGCAGCTTTCTCTGCGTTCCAGAAGAAATGGTTGACTCAGGGAAGGAATTTTGGGGGCTTGGTATGGCCAGTTCTCTCAATGTCACAAAAATTTCAGAAGTCTTAAATGTCCTGACTTCTAGAGTTACCCCATCTCTAAAATCACTCTTCCAAGAAAAGCTACCTAGCTTGTAGTCTTTGGTGGAAAAGATGTAGTCACTAACCATTCCCCTATTTTACCTGTGCCCCCCTTTAACTCAGATCCTCACAGTGAACCCCTATGACTTTCTCTGCTTCTGCATTATTATCTAAATTTGATGGCATGCGATTGGTAACAGAAACCACATATCCTACTTGCTTTGTTTTCCCTTTGTTATATAGCAAGAAGACTGGAAAAATCCCAATTTATTGATGGTGCTACCAGCTCACAAGAGGAGACTGACATAGTTATTAACACAGGAGGATTTATGTAAGGGGTCACAAACAGGGTGAGTGCCTAAATGCAAAAATCAAACTCTAGGTTGCTTCAAAACCTGGAGCATTTTGAGTGCTGATATGACACCAAAACATAGAAAATAAAAATTTTACACCAGACTTCATGTGATAAGTGAAAACCTAGATGCACTAAAATTATATAAAATTGTCTCCTCTATGTGAACCATTTATTAGATTTGGGGTTTAGCCTTGAACCCTAGACCCAAGATATCTAATTATGTATTAAGCAGATACTCTGAAATCGGAAGGGAAAAAATCCCCAACCCAAAATATTTCTGATACCAAAAAGATAAGGAATACTCATCCTGTTCAGGAGGTACAAACATAGTGAGAATGGACGGTCACACACCACACACACACACACACACACACACACACACACACACACACACACACTGCAGAATCCATCATGCCATTGTACTCACTGTGTATCCAGTGATGGGTCTACCAGAATGCTTTGGTGTTTTCCACTGGATGCTGAAAGCTGTGCAGTTCAAGGTTCCCAGCTTGATCTCAAGAGGAGGCCCCAACTTGCCTGCCCAGACCAAAAAGATTGTGTTAGAAAATCCATGTAGCCCATCTTCAGTATTATTTATACAAGACTCCAGTGTGTGCTTATAGATGAAGATCATAGTTAAGGACAATGTAGCACCCTACGATCCACCCCATCTGTTTCAGACAATCTCCTAGAACTGGACTCCCAAACCTGCCACTTGATACCTTTGATCCATTCTGTAACTTGTGTTCATCAGAGACCCACAAAGTGAAATTTGCAGCTCACAGTTGGGATGGAGCAAACTCTATGGCTTTTTCATGAGAATTTGAAAAGGGCTTAAAAAGATGACCACTTTTTAGTCTACTTATAACATACATGTGGTATGTATGTGTGTGTGTTACATACATACATCTGCTTATATAGATGATATAGTCAAATGGGTTGGGTTGTTTTGAAAATATATGTGGTCTGTGATGGTTAGTTTTAATTATCACGTTGACACAATCTAGAATCACCTGAGTCTCAGTGAAGGATTGTCTAGACAAGGTTGGCTCACAGGTGTGTTTGTCACTAATTGTCATAAGGATGTTAATTGAAGGAGGAAGACCCATTCTCTATAGGTAGCACCACTTCCTGAATTTGGACACTGAACTATGTAGAGCAGAGAAAAAGGGGACTAGAGAGATGGCTAGAGAGTTAAGAGCACTTGTGGTTGTTCTGACAGAGGATCTGGACTCAGTTATTGACACCCAAAGAGCAACTCACAATTGCCTGTAACTCCAGTTTCCAGGGATCCAACACCCTCTTCTGGTCTTAAGGCATGCTTTATGCATCTGATGCACGTATATTCATGCAGGCAAACACACATACACAGATAGATAGATAGATAGATAGATAGATAGATAGATAGATAGATACATACATACATACATACATACATACATATGTACATACATAGATGATAGATAGATACATACATGATTGATATACATACATAGATACATACTAGATAGATAGATAGACAGATAGATGTTGAAGAGTAGAGAGAGGTAACTGTGCACAAGCTTGCATGCATTCAAAGCCCTCTGCTTTTTGACTATGAATGCAATATGACTACCCTATGCACTGACAGACCTACAATAATGGACTGTAACCTGGAACTATAACCTAAAGTAAATCCTTTCTCCTCTAAGTTGCATTTGTCAGGGTGTTTTATCACAGCAACAAGAAAAGAAACTAGGATGCTTTTTGTCTTAAGTCATCTTATGACCATCAATAATTTATTTTATATTTCTAAAACAACATATGAAAGTTGTCAACATTTGGGACACATACATGCACACAATTTTATTATTCAGAAATGAGTCTAGTTAACATTTTAGTAGATCCTCTGTTGGTCATATGCAATTGAAACAATTTATTCTCTATGTGCATGATACATATAATTTTAGTTATATATCATTTTGTTTATAATTTAATGATTATGTGTGTGCACACATTCATAATTTTATATTTTACTTAGTTTACTGTCATTAAAGTCATTATTTTTAATGACTGCAAATACTCCCATATCATACTCATTCCATAATAAGCAATATTTTTCTTTCCAGTATCATTAGGCACTTTATTTTCCATAATTTACCATTTTAAAAAACATTCCATGAGGGCAGAAACTAGCTCTTTCCTGTTCAGCATACAGAGTAGGATATAATCAGAGCTCAGCAAACATCTCTCAAGTGAATGAATGTTATAAAATCTGACTCTCCTTGCTGACTGTGGTGGCACACGCCTGCCTTTAAACCCAGCACTCAGGAAGGAGAGACAGACAGATCTCTGTGAGTTCGAGGCCAGCCTGGTCTACATAGCCAGCTCCAGACCAGTCAAGCGAGACCCCATCTTGACTTTTTTTTTAAATTGTCATTTTCCTAGTATGTCCAGATGTGATTTTCTTTTAGCCACTGCTTAGAATTCTGTGACTTTTCAGATAAATATTTACAATTTACAGAAACCTAATGGGTGAATCTAAATGGGTCAATTTCTTACTTCTAAGGCTGTTCATCAATGTTCTTATCTCCCCTCACAACTAAGATGCTTTTATTACTTGAGTTATATTAATGGTATATTTTTGAAAGGCTGAAGAAATTGCTCAGTTAACCTTGTGTAAAATATTACATACATGTTTTTGAAGTGTCTTCAGGCATCTCTCACATTGTCATTCTCATTTTTTCTTAAGTGATTAAATAATTAATGACAGAACTCAAGGTTTTCAGATGGACTAACTAATGGAATCTTGATTCATTTAGTAGGAAAGAGGAGACCAGGAGGCAACCTCCATTTTCCCGTAGGCACCTACATTCAGGAACTTAATCTCCAGTGTTCTTTCTGCCTCTGTGTGGATCATTCCTCTCAATATTGCTGTCAACCTATGAAAAACTTGAGGCTTCCTTCACTGCTTTGGCAGTTCTGGGGATAAAACCCAGGGCCTTGAATATGCAAGGAAGTACAAGACCGCTGAGTGACAGCCCAAGTTCTAAAAACTGAGTGATGTGTTGGGCATGATGGAGCACGGCTTTAATTCCAGCACTAGGGAAATAGAAACAGGCAAATCTGTGAGTTCAAAGACAGATGAGACAACAGAATGAATTCTAGGCCAGCTAGAACTATATAGTGAGGCCCTGTCATAAACAACAGAACAAAACAAAAAAAACTTTACAAAATTAATTTTAAAATTTAAATATTTTAGAATTTTTGGACATTTTCCATTGTGTATTTAAATTTTTCTCATTGTTTTATAAGAACTCTGATAAGGTAAAGAATTAGCCATTAAATCAACTATATGTTCTCACTATAATTTTATAATTGGGTCTGACTGTATAATTGCCAGTACAGGCCAGATTCACTGCTTAGTTAAAGGTCTATGATTAGATAACATCATTGGTGGCTGGAAATGAGAACAAAGATAGTGGAAATGGTTTAATAGTCCTTCAGGAAGCATTAAGATAACTAACAGCATAGCTGCATCTGTAGTCATAGGAATAGGACTCTTCCTATGCAGTGGTAAAAGTTAAAATTGATGGAGGCTAGACACTTGCTTAGTTCAGGAAAAGGGGAGTCCGTCATCATATTCCTCGTATGTCTTTAATAGTTTAGTCCAAACTACAAAACGCCCTAAAATCTTTAAGAAAAAAAGATAGTTAAAGAAGTTGGTAGAAGGCCAGAGAATTGTAGCATAATAGCTTCTATTGACTTTATGATAGGTAGATAATGATGGAAATAGATATAGATAGATAGATAGATAGATAGATAGATAGATAGATAGATAGATAGATAGATGGTAGACAGAAAGAGAGGAGGAAGAAATGAGGCCGGAATTCTACTCTACAGCAGAGATTCAGTACCAAGAAGTCTTGACTCCCACTGCTAGTACTGGCATCATCATAGCTGCTTCCAGATATCCAGGAGATCAATGGACTCTCGAATGATGACTTCTCATATTCTGATGACCTGGCCTGGCTGCAAAAACAGCAGCAGGAAAGTAACCTCTGTCTCTTTCTTGCTCTCTGTATTTCCCAAGAGCATGTTTTATTGGTTGAATCAAATTTATACCCAGAATGCTGGCTTCAGGGGAACTGTGTGTGTGTGTGTGTGTGTGTGTGTGTGTGTGTGTGTGTGTGGTTTGTTTGCTAGCTTCCAAGCCTTTGCATTACAGTAACAGCTCCTATACAGAAAGTGGAATGGATGGGGAAAATGTCAACATACAGCACCCATCTTGGTATCATAAAAACATAAATTTCAGCAATCTGTCCTTTTCACTGTCATATTCTCTGGATAGAATTTACATCAAATCTTGCTGGGCATTGGTATGACTCATATTTCATTGTCCTTTTCACTCATTTCTTTGTTCTTTCAACACATCTAACAACTATAAATTGTGCTTCCTAAATGTGCAAGGGACTGGGCCAGCCAATGATGTCACAGTAAGGATAAAAAGATTTGTAGGCCCACAAACAAGTTAACAAAACATTGCAATTGGGTTTAGCGACCATTCCTGTTGGGGAATATGTAGCAATTTTGTTGCACACAGCAAACACATCCCTGGCTCTACCTGGTTTATAAGAATGAGGCAGGCAAAATATCAGTGAAGAAAGTATCTTAGATAGAAGAAGCAACATCTAGTTTTCCTACAGTGAGAAGAGTGTCTCCATTACATGTTCACCAATCTGGGATGAACAAACTGGGAAAGAGGTGAGGAAGAAATCAGGATGGTTGCAGGGATTCTGCCTGGGGCCGCAGAGAAAACACAGTGTGTGTCTCCCAGTGAGCTGGAAACATGTAAATGACCTTTTGGTGTCCCCTATGGAGGTAGGTATGTGCATGAAAGGTAGCTATGTTAGACATCTGGACCAAACACCAAAAATATTCCAGACAAGGCTGTGACACCTGGGAAATTGAATTATAGAATGTACTTGGATTTCAAAATCATATTTATTTTTTGGGCGAGGAAATGTCTAAGCTTAAAGGAGGCTAAAAATAAATCAAAAGAAAACTAGGTGATTCTAAATCATGAAACTTTCATGATGCATTTCAAAAATTACAAAAGGGAAATTCATACTAGCAGATTGAGAGGTAAATAATTGCTGCTAAGTGGCAGGCCATGGGATATCTTTATTATGAAACTCATAAATATTGATGAAAAACATACTGAAACCTTAATAAATAAGATATGAAGAGAAAACTCAAACAAGAAGTATAGCCAGTAAACACTCACCGGGAAATATTCAAGTTTGTGAGTTATAAAAGAAACGATTTTAAAAAAACTGAAATGTTGGTTTTGCCTGTTAAATTAAGCTGGAGTATTTAAGTGAGAGTAAGGAATGTTGAGAAGAGTACATGCATGTACTACCTTCCAGGGATCAGGCATGGCAGTGCAAATTAATAGACGGGCATGTTTGCAACATCAGTGATATCCTCATCCATGACTGTCCTATCTTTTGGCTCGTAGAAGTGTGATGATTCTGTCTGAGGGGGGAGTCTTAAAG